AGCTTCACGGCCAGGAGCCCTGAAGTCACCAGCTTCACGGCTAGGAGCCCCTGAAGTCAACAGCTTCATGGCCAGGAGCCCCTGAAGTCACCAGCTTCACGGCTAGGAGCCCCTGAAGTCACCAGCTTCACGGCTAGGAGCCCCTGAAGTCAACAGCTTCACGGCCAGGAGCCCTGAAGTCAACAGCTTCACGGCTAGGAGCCCTGAAGTCACCAGCTTCACGGCTAGGAGCCCTGAAGTCAACAGCTTCATGGCCAGGAGCCCCTGAAGTCACCAGCTTCACGGCTAGGAGCCCCTGAAGTCACCAGCTTCACGGCTAGAAGCCCCTGAAGTCAACAGCTTCACGGCCAGGAGCCCTGAAGTCAACAGCTTCACGGCTAGGAGCCCTGAAGTCACCAGCTTCACGGCCAGGAGCCCCTGAAGTCACCAGTTTCACGGCTAGGAGCCCCTGAAGTCACCAGTTTCACGGCTAGCTAGGAGCCCTGAAGTAACCAGCTTCACGGCTAGGAGCCCCTGAAGTCACCAGTTTCACGGCTAGCTAGGAGCCCTGAAGTCACCAGCTTCACGGCTAGGAGCCCTGAAGTCACAAGTTTCACGGCTAGCTAGGAGCCCTGAAGTCACCAGCTTCACGCCCAGGAGCCCTGAAGTCACCAGCTTCCCGGCCAGGAGCCCTGAAGTCACCAGCTTCACGGCCAGGAGCCCTGAAGTCACCAGCTTCACGGCTAGGAGCCCCTGAAGTCAACAGCTTCATAGCCAGGAGCCCCTGAAGTCACCAGCTTCACGGCTAGGAGCCCCTGAAGTCACCAGCTTCACGGCTAGGAGCCCCTGAAGTCAACAGCTTCACGGCCAGGAGCCCTGAAGTCAACAGCTTCACGGCTAGGAGCCCTGAAGTCACCAGCTTCACGGCTAGGAGCCCTGAAGTCAACAGCTTCATGGCCAGGAGCCCCTGAAGTCACCAGCTTCACGGCTAGGAGCCCCTGAAGTCACCAGCTTCACGGCTAGAAGCCCCTGAAGTCAACAGCTTCACGGCCAGGAGCCCTGAAGTCAACAGCTTCACGGCTAGGAGCCCTGAAGTCACCAGCTTCACGGCTAGGAGCCCTGAAGTCAACAGCTTCACGGCCAGGAGCCCCTGAAGTCACCAGTTTCACGGCCAGGAGCCCCTGAAGTCACCAGCTTCCCGGCCAGGAGCCCTGAAGTCACCAGCTTCACGGCCAGGAGCCCTGAAGTCACCAGCTTCACGGCTAGGAGCCCCTGAAGTCAACAGCTTCATAGCCAGGAGCCCCTGAAGTCACCAGCTTCACGGCTAGGAGCCCCTGAAGTCACCAGCTTCACGGCTAGGAGCCCCTGAAGTCAACAGCTTCACGGCCAGGAGCCCTGAAGTCAACAGCTTCACGGCTAGGAGCCCTGAAGTCACCAGCTTCACGGCTAGGAGCCCTGAAGTCAACAGCTTCATGGCCAGGAGCCCCTGAAGTCACCAGCTTCACGGCTAGGAGCCCCTGAAGTCACCAGCTTCACGGCTAGAAGCCCCTGAAGTCAACAGCTTCACGGCCAGGAGCCCTGAAGTCAACAGCTTCACGGCTAGGAGCCCTGAAGTCACCAGCTTCACGGCTAGGAGCCCTGAAGTCAACAGCTTCACGGCCAGGAGCCCCTGAAGTCACCAGTTTCACGGCCAGGAGCCCCTGAAGTCACCAGTTTCACGGCTAGCTAGGAGCCCTGAAGTCACCAGCTTCACGGCCAGGAGCCCTGAAGTCACCAGCTACACGGCTAGGAGCCCTGAAGGCAACAGCTTCACGGCCAGGAGCCCCTGAAGTCACCAGTTTCACGGCCAGGAGCCCCTGAAGTCACCAGTTTCACGGCTAGGAGCCCTGAAGTCACCAGCTTCACGGCCAGGAGCCCTGAAGTCACCAGCTTCACGGCCAGGAGCCCTGAAGTCACCAGCTTCACGGCCAGGAGCCCTGAAGTTACCAGCTTCACGGCCAGGAGCCCTGAAGTTACCAGCTTCACGCCTAGGAGCCCTGAAGTCAACAGCTTCACGGCTAGGAGCCCCTGAAGTCACCAGTTTCACGGCCAGGAGCCCTGAAGTCACCAGTTTCACGGCTAGCTAGGAGCCCTGAAGTCACCAGCTTCACGGCTTAAAGCCCCTGAAGTCACCAGCTTCACGGCTAGAAGCCCTGAAGTCACCAGCTTCACGGCTAGAAGCCCTGAAGTCACCAGCTTCACGGCTAGAAGCCCTGAAGTCACCAGCTTCAGATTCCTGGGCGTCGGCCAAGAGATCAACATCGCGAGGTGTAAGGACAAGCGTGATACTTGTCATCAGCGGGCTCTAGAGCGTGGCACTCTTAACCGTGGCACTCTTAACCGTGGCACTCTTAACCGTGGCGCTCTTAACCGTGGCACTCTTAACCGTGGAGCTCTCCAGGGCGGGGCTCTCAAGCGTGACGCTCTCAAGCGAGGAGCTCTCCAGGGTGCCCCAACACACAAGCAGGAGAGGTATACTCACGATGTTGAAGAGGGTGAAGACATACTTCTCGACCTCGTCCTCGCCGTGGAAGTCAATGACAGTGTGGTCGACGGCCACCACCAACTCCAGCCACTTCTGCGGGTCGGAGACGTTCACGGCCGCCCCCAGGGACACCTCCGTCAGCCCTGACGTCCCTGGCACACACACAGGGGAGATGGGGCGGATTAGTGCATCGATATGTCATCTTAGTGCATCAATACGTCATCTTAAGTGCATCAATACGTCATCTTAGTGCCTCAATACGTCATCTTAGTCCATCGATACGTCATCTTAGTGCCTCAATACGTCATCTTAGTGCCTCAATACGTCATCTTAGTCCATCAATACGTCATCTTAGTCCATCAATACGTCATCTTAGTCCATCAATACGTCATCTTAGTCCATCAATACGTCATCTTAAGTGCATCAATACGTCATCTTAGTGCATCAATACGTCATCTTAGTCCATCAATACGTCATCTTAAGTGCATCAATACGTCATCTTAGTCCATCAACAACACCCACACACCGTCTAAGTAGAAGTGAGAAATAAGACCCACGTATCCCCCCACAAAATAAGAGAAGGGAACCCACAAAATAACGTTGTGGATTCCCCACAACGTTATTTTGACGTTATTATGACGTTATTTTGACGTTATTTTGACGTTATTATGACGTTATTTTGACGTTATTATGACGTTATTTTGACGTTATTTTCAAAATAACGTCAAGTTGGGACGCAACTTGACTAATGAACACGACACAATAATAGAAGCGACCGTGTTGGTCACTTTGGGTTCGATCCCCACTCTTCCCCCCCCCCATATCCTCCTTGGGTGGGCAGACTGCATATTTTAGGAATACCAGAAAGCCTTTGACACAGTACCACTCTAACTATGTCGACCATCGTATATATATAGACGAGATGGACAATTTAAAAGTCACATTTGGTACTATTCATTTTATAGAATCTATAAAAAAGGCTAAAACCCTAATTTAAATATTCTTAGGCCTACTACAAGGCCTCAGATTTCGAGTATTAGGCCTAAGATGGTTAGGTTTCATTAGCAACAAAAATATGAACATTTACAAAACTTTTACGACTTGTTCAAATTGAACAATGCCAAAAGTGTACTTTTTTCTACTAGTCCACTACGTCCATATTTGTACTGTTGACGACAGACTTACTGTAAGTCCCTTCATTGTGGGAGGCTGTGTAAATGACCGGGCGACTGTCTGCTGGAGGGGGGGGGGGGGTGAAACAAGCCATAGGGGGGGGAGAGATTGAGGGAGGGGTAAGAGTGAGGGAAGGAGGGGGTGAGAGAGAGAGGGGGGGGAAGGAAGGAAAGGAATTATCAGGAGAAGGCTACCTTCAGGTGCTTCCGGGGCTTAGTGTCCCCGCGGCCCGGTCGTCGACCAGGCCTCCTGGTTGCTGGACTGATCAACCAGGCTGTTAGACGCGGCTGCTCGCAGCCTGACGTATGAGTCACAGCCTGGTTGATCAGGTATCCTTTGGAGGGATCAGGTATCCTTTGGAGGATAAGTCATTACGACTATATAGCACTGGGAAAGGGTCAGGATAAGGATTTGGGATGAGGCAGGGAGGGGAAGGAATGGTGCTCCCAACCACTTATGGACGGTCGGGGATTGAACGCCGACCTGCATGAAGCGAGACCGTCGCTCTACCGTCCAGCCCAAGTGGATGGGAAGAGGGGGTGGGGTAAGGACTCACCTGCAGCCACTTGGGTCTCCCACATGTCTGGAGAGTAACCGTCCCACTCCTCACCCTCGAAGGGGTCCACCACGCGGGAGTGAACTGCAGAACAACAGTCACAGTTAACACACAGTCTGGCCCTGTGTACACCAACAGTTAACACACGCACACACACACACACACACACACACACACACACACACACACACACACACACACACACACACACACACACACATACACACACACACACACACACATATGGCAAGTCCTGTCTCACAGGATTAATTGAATTCTACGACCAGGCAACACAAATCAGACAAGAAAGAGTGCGGTGGGCAGACTGCATATTTTTGGATTGTCAGAAAGCCTTGAAATTGAAATTGAAATAAGTTTATTGAGGTAAAATACACACAAAGGGATGAGGTAGCTCAAGCTATTCTCACCCCGTTCAGTACATCGTGTTAATACATACATAGACACACATCACAAACAATAAACATATTACCAAACATTCTGAGATATAAACATATACATTTCCTCCTTTACACACAAAGCCTTTGATACAGTACCACACAAGAGGCTAGTGAAAAAGCAGGAGATGCAGGCTGGAGTGAAAGGGAAGGTACTCCATTGGATAAGGGAGTACCTAAGCAACAGGAGACAACGAGTCTGTGTGAGGGGTGAGGTCTCAGATTGGCGAGACCTCACAAGTGGAGTCCCGCAGGGGTCAGTCCTTGGACCTATACTGTTTCTGATATATGTAAATGATCTCCCAGAGGGTATAGAATCGTTTCTCTCACTGTTTGCCGATGATGCAAAAATTATGAGGAGGATTGAAACTGAGGACGATAGTAGGAGGCTACAGGACGATCTAGACAGACTGAGTGAATGGTCCAACAAATGGCTGCTAAAGTTCAACCCGAGTAAATGCAAAGTAATGAAACTAGGCGGTGGAAACAGGAGGCCAGACACAGGATACAGAATAGGAGATGAAGTACTTAATGAAACAAAGAGAAAGATCTAGGGGTTGATATGACACCAAACCCGTCTCCTGAAGCCCACATAAAGAGAATAACGTCTGCGGCATATGCGAAGCTGGCTAACATCAGAACCTGTGTAAGGAATCATTCAGAACCTTGTACACCACATATGTGAGACCAATCCTGGAGTATGCGGCCCCAGCATGGAGCCCGTACCTTGTCAAGCCCAAGACGAAGCTGGAAAAAGTCCAAAGGTATGCTACTAGACTAGTCCCAGAACTAAGAGGCACGAGTTACGAGGAAAGGCTGCGGGAAATGCACCTTACGACACTGGAAGACAGAAGAGTAAGGGGAGACATGATCACAACCTACAAAATCCTCAGGGGAATCGACTGGGTAAACAAGGATAAACTATTCAACACTGGTGGTACGCGAACAAGGGGACACAGGTGGAAACTGAGTACCCACATGAGCCACAGGGACGTTAGAAATAACTTTTTTAGTGTCAGAGTAGTTAACGGATGGAATGCATTAGGCAGTGATGTGGTGGAGGCTGACTCCATACACAGTTTCAAATGTAGATATGATAGAATCCAGTAGGCTCAGGAATCTGTACACCAGTTGATTGACGGTTGAGAGGCGGGACCAAAGAGCCAGAGCTCAACCCCTGCAAGCACAAATAGGTGAGTACACCTCACTAAGACAAGCAGGCGGGCACGGCCCCCACCCGTCACACACCGTCACTTACTGAGTGACGGTCAGTGACACCAGGACCGCCCGTCACCAGCACCAAGGGACGTCCGTCACCAGCGGCTGGCCAATATTCCTCGTATTCTCCAGCTGGACACAAACTTTCTTGGTTCATTCCTGCCCCAGCCACTTCCCGGAACCCTTGATCACCCTGGGGCCGGTCACCACACCCCACACCCCGAGGACGGCCACACCACACCCACACCCCGAGGACGGCCACACCACAACCACACCCCGAGGACGGCCACACCACACCCACACCCCGAGGACGGCCACACCACACCCACACCCCGAGGACGGCCACACCACAACCACACCCCGAGGACGGCCACACCACACCCACACCCCGAGGACGGTCACACCACACCCACACCCCGAGGACGGCCACACCACACCCACACCCCGAGGACGGCCACACCACACCCACACCCCGAGGACGGCCACACCACACCCACACCCCGAGGACGGCCACACCACACCCACACCCCGAGGACGGCCACACCACACCCACACCCCGAGGACGGTCACACCACACCCACACCCCGAGGACGGCCACACCACACCCACACCCCGAGGACGGTCACACCACACCCACACCCCGAGGACGGCCACACCACACCCACACCCGAGGACGGCCACACCACACCCCACACCCCGAGGACGGCCACACCACACCCACACCCCGAGGACGGCCACACCACACCCACACCCCGAGGGCGGCCACACCACACCCACACACCCTGGCTACCAGCACTATATTCAACTGTAACTTTCAGTCACTGTGTACTAATCATTCTTCCTGGTGCCCGCGGGGGCGCCAAAGGCACCAAGAGACGGCCATCACTGGCTCATATTTACCTCCACGGAAATAGGTAACCCAAGTCAGCCGATAAACACTTTAATTAGTCACGGCATCTGCTTTCCTATGAACTCTGCATTCAATATTACACACACACACATATATATATATATATATATATATATATAGTCCCAAAACGTGATTGAGTCCTGGCTTGGGCCTGGCGTCTGTCGGCGCCATTATCCACTCTGTCAGGCTGGCTGAATTAAATTTAAATTGTTGATGTGAGTTTTGAAGCTGGCGTGGGAGATTAGATAGTATGAGCGACTGTCAGCACTGAGAGACGTGGGTTCGATCCCCGTCTGGGGGTCACACAGAACACACACACTAAGGCATCAGGGGGGGGGGAGGAGACTTACCCTCGGGAAATGATGAGGTTAATGTGTCCTCTGACTGCATGTCCATTTCCATCCTTTGTCTCTTCTTGTCTTTATTTTCTTTATTGGCGTGTTTTTCCCTCTTCCTCTCTTCCCTCCTTCGGTCCCTCCTCTCCTGTCGTGCCCTGCAGATGACGTCGTTGGTAGCGCCATCTGGTGCCGCCTCCTGACCTTGGCTCTCCTCCCTTCCCATCTTCCCACAGTCACCTTGTTTATGCTTCCTTCCTTTCTTCTTTCTTCTTTTATCTTGCTTCCTTCGTTCTCTCTCTCTCCTCCTTTCTTCCTTTTCTCGTTTCTTCTGCTCTCTTCTCTCTTGCTTCCTCCTAGCTCGCTCTGCCCTTTCTAATCTGGTCAAAGGCTTCTCCTGGCAAGTATCGCCGGACTTGTCAGTCTGCCCCGCTGATGGGCCGCCATCTTCTTCCGGTCTGGTCCGCTTGCAGTCTTTGATTTTCCGGAATTTATTCCTTCCATTGGGTGTTGGGTGTACTGGCGAAGCTGCGTCAGTGTGTCCTGGGTGTTGCTCCGTGCCCACCGCGTCCTCCTCCCTCTTGGAGCGCTCGGAATCCCTCGAGGCACCAACTCTTCGCTCGAACTTCGGTGCCTTGAGGGCTGTCGATCTGCCATGCCTCTCAGACTTGAGGAAGGACGAGGAGGAAGTCCGGACGAACTTTGGTATTCTGTCTCGCCTGAACTTGGGCACAGTGTTCTCTGATCTCTTGAATCTTTCAGGCTCCGTTTCTGAAGAAGTTTCTTGTTGCTCTTGCTGGTTCGTGGCGGAAGTTCTCTTTTTCCTCTTCAGGAGTTTGTCCAACTCGAGGAATGTAGTGTCTTGTTGCGGGTGTGGGTGGTGGTGGTTCTCCCGGTTGTTGTGGTGGTGGTTCTCCCGGTTGTTGTGGTTCTGTTGTGAGTGGTTCTCCTGGTGCGACGGGTGGTGGTGGTTCTCTTTGGGTTGGTACTCCTGATCCTGCTGGAGAGATAGGTTCAGGCGACTAGTGATGGACTGCACCTTATAGATAAGATGAGGCTGCGGTCCGGATCTACTGGCTTCGTCTTGCGCCTCGCCCCGCCTCAGAGGCTCGATGAAGTAGCTGTCGTTCTGCGTCTGGATGTAGCCGGTAAGGCCGTCGCAGTTACTGATAGCTACAAGACTTTCCCTCGTAGATTTGAGGCGACCGATGTAGAAACAGTCGCCCGAAGCTCTCTTCAACACCCTCGTCCCATCTTCCATCACCCATTCTATAAGGGTATAGGGCGTCACCAGGTTGGTATTGGGGGTCAGCTTCAGGAAGAGTTCTTCATTGTCGTTGTTAATGACGATGTAGAGTTTCTCCTCCTTGTGTTGGGTCGTGTTGGTGTCGCGTTTGACCCGCCGGCCGCCATCTTTGTCGTGGAAGGTAGAGGACACGTCCGGGGAGATGACGTGGCCGCGGGAGTCGGTACGGAAGGGGTAGACGACACGGGTCTTGTCCACGGCAGGTCCCACCCACGACCAACACTGTCAACACAACAACGGCACTGGTTAGTATATGATCCTCACCCAGGGGCGAGCAGTATCGGCACATACAGTACATATACGAGTTACATAATATTCTTAAACCAATACCACCACACACACACACACACACACACACACACACACACACACACACACACACACACACACTTTAATATTAAATATTAAATTACGTGTTTACATCCGCCAAATATTGACAAAAATGCTAGAAATCGGCTGCCAGCCAATTACAAGGTTCATATTACACAAACAACGGTTGTTGAACAACTTGTAGGCTCACACCAGCCACCACACCTGTAGCAACCACACACACACACACACACACACACACACACACACACACACACACACACACACACACACACACACACAATAACTCTTAGAAGCGTTTCAAAGCCAGGCAGAAACCATCCACGAGAGAGGAACAGGCGGATAGAAACTTTGCAGGACTACAGATGGGGGGAGGGGGACATACATAGGACTGGACTACAATTCTTCATCAGGTACACTTATACTACCCCCCACCCTTCCCCACCAACCCCCACAACCCCTCAGGAACTACCACACTACCCAGCACCAACTACTAAAACTGGTCGACCCATTTCCAAAGCAGCACACCCCTGAATTAGGATGGAGAGGGGGGGGGGGGATCTACCAAAATCCACCACAAGCGACACGCACTATGGAAACACCTTCAACACCTTCATATTCGCTAACAAACAAGACCTACCTTGAGGAGCTTCCGGGGCTTAGCGTCCCCGCGGCCCGGTCGTCGACCAGGCCTCCTGGTTGCTGGACTGATCAACCAGGCTGTTGGACGCGGCTGCTCGCAGCCTGACGTATAAAGTCAAAATCCAGAAATAAAAATACATAAATGGTCTTCTAGTAGAGTCGAATTCACTATTTGGATCATTCACGAAAACCCATAACGAAGGATTTCACGGAGAGTGAAATCTGGATTCCCAATTATAGCCTATATAGATGTGATTATATAATCACATTTATAGAATTATAACCTATATAGACGAACCGCTCCAAGCAACAGCCTGTTGGACCAAGTTATCACAAGTGGAGCCTGGCCCCAGGCCGGGCTTGGGGAGTAGAATAACTCGCGAGATCCTCTCCAGGTATGTTCCAGGTACATGCACACCACAACAAAGACAATAAAATAACCTAACACTCGATACAACAAAAGAACAGAACGAACAAACAAACAAACGCCCCCATGAACAAAAATGTTCACGAGAAGGCGCAATAACAGAGAACTTGAGAACAAGATAAGAACAACTTGAGAACAAGAACAACTTGAGAACAAGATAAGAACTTGAGAACAAGATAAGAACAACCTGAGAACAAGATAAGAACAACCTGAGAACAAGATAAGAACAACTTGAGAACAAGAACAACTTGAGAACAAGAACAACTTGAGAACAAGATAAGAACAACTTGAGAACAAGAACAACTTGAGAACAAGATAAGAACTTGAGAACAAGAACAACTTGAGAAGACGATAAGAACAACTTGAGAACAAGATAAGAACAAGTATAACATTGTCACCCTTGCAGTAAGCAGGTACTATGAGAGCCTAACATGGCTGATGAAAACATATAAATTAAAACACTCTTACTCAAGTGCTTCACAAAGGCGCTCAGAAGGTGAGTAAGCCAGACACAGAGACGCCTAGAAGGTGAGTAAGACAAGCGTCCAGGTGAATAAGACGAAGCGTACCTCAGTGACTCACAGAGGAATCATTCAGTGAGTGAGAGAGATAATCCCTCATGCGCCTTCCGCGCCCAAAGACCCAGTGAGGCGGGAACGCCCTCACCCATCTGCACTTCTTTGTTGACGAGGGATGAAAGCCGTTATATACATGAATTACCCGCCCCTTTTGATCGTCGCTAAAAGGTAATGATTTTTTTGTCCTTAGTCCACACACTACACACCTGAAGGCGCTTGTCCCGCGGGGCACAGACTCGACCATCGTAAAATACGCGCGGGCTCACACGCTCATGTTTATTCACTTGTCTCCGCGTCCGCCATTGCGGCGCGCGAATATAAACACCGTTTTGCCTGAGCCTAGTGAAGCTTTTGAAGTGTAGTCAACGCACGCATACGCACGCATACGCACGCATACACACGCATACACACAGACAATCTGTGTGAATGCAGCCCGTGGAATATCTGGAGGGAAAGAGCTTTGTAACACACCACCAGCATGGGTTCAGGGATGGTAAATCGTGCCTCACAGGCTTAATAGAATCTTATGACCAGATGATAAAAATTAGGCAACAAAGAGAAGGGTGGGAATATTGCAATTTCTTGGACTGTCAGAAAGCCTTTGACACAGTACCCCATAAGAGGCTGTTACAAAAGTTGGAGCAACAGGCAGGAGTAAAAGGCAATAAGAGGCTTCAGTAGGTAAGGGAGTACCTAAGCAACAGGAAACAGCGAGTAACTGTGAGGGGGATAGACATAGTGACGCCTAATGACACAGTCGAACGACTGGGAACAATTTCTTTACCGTAAGAGTAAATACTGATGCATAGAAAGCTTAAATGAAGGGATTACAGAGCCTCGGGAGCCACTCGAAACCCCCGCAACAGAAAAGGCGGATCCCAGGAGCTAGCACTCTGCGCTCCAGATACGCAAGTACATTTAGGTGAGTACCGACCAACATTTGTAGAGTCAGATAATGTGTTGTGGTCAAGTGCAATCACAGTGACCTAGATCATGGACCCGGCCTCTACTCTCTGTACCTCTCTCCCCCTCCTTCCCTCTCCCCTCTGTATCTCTCACCCCCTCCTTCCCTCTCCCCTCTCTACCTCTCTCCCCTCCTTCCCTCTCCCCTCTGTATCTCTCACCCCCTCCTTCCCTCTCCCCTCCTTCCTCTCCCCTCCTTCCCTCTCCCCTCCTTCCCTCTCCCCTCCTTCCCTCTCCCCTCCTTCCTTCCCTTCATATTCCCCCTCTTTCTTCTACTTCATTTCTTCACTACAAATTATCCACCTTGATTGACAAACACAAAAGCCGTGAACAAACTTCGTCAAACTGCACTTCCCTTTCTTTTGTAAGTGAGAGAATGAAAGGGAGAGAAAGACAGACCGAGGGAGACAAAGGTAGACCGAGAACATAACTCCTGACCGAAATAATAGAGCCATCTTCCCCCCGGCTGCAGGCGATGGTCAATAAAACACATTCAGACTTCACTCAAGACGAATTACACACTTTCCTCCACAACCCCCCTACCCCCCCCACCCCCACCCAGCCACCCCTACACAAGGCTGTGAAACCTTGTGTACAGGGGTAGGGGGGAGGGGGTAGGGGGGATTAATCACGCCTCCCACCCCCCCCCCCCCCTAAACACCCCCTAACCTTCCCTTCGTAGGTAAGGCATCACAACTCTCAGGTTTTGTCCTCCAACTCTGTAAATACACGGCTTTTTCCTCCTGTTTCTTGTATATGTTCGGGGCGTCGAACACCGCCAGCGAGCGCCTCGACCCATGACCCATAAGGCGTGAGATAAACACGTGTGGAGTGCTAACACACACACACACACACACACACACACACACACACACACACACACACACACACATACAAAGATCCTTCACGGGGCTAACATTTCAGGGGTGCACAAGAGCCTTGGTATGACAAGAAACACTCGTGTTCAGTGTGTAAGTGCACTAGGTCAACCTATCAGCGAGGGTACCACAAGGACTCGGGTCAACCTATCAGCGAGGGTACCACAAGGACTCGGGTCAACCTATCAGCGAGGGTACCACAAGGACTCGGGTCAACCTATCAGCGAGGGTACCACAAGGACTCGGGTCAACCTATCAATCTTGCAGCCTATTTTGCTTCACCAGAGTCTCAACCAGCTCCATATAGTCTTATAACTCCTCAGGAGGCCTCAAGCCACTACCACAAAGCACTTCCAAGCTGCTTCCTCCTCCCTCGTCGGCTACTTGGGGGAATTCCTTGCACTCCAGGATCTTCATCTGTGGTTGACCAGACCACACACTAGAAGATGAAGGGACGACGACGTTTCGGTCCGTCCAGGACCTTTCTCAAGTCGATTGTGCTTGAGTCAAGACCACAGATGCTTCATCTGTGGTCCAGTAAAGACGCGGCTTCGACTTATTATTATTAACCTCTTTATTGACAAAATTAATTACAATTTTGCCTAATCTGAGTATTTCGATTAAGTCTTATAAAAGTGAGGATAATGCTGGTATTCACTGTCACGCAGGACAGAGGGGTTCGACTCTTGCCTCTGACAGCTCAGGGAAGAAATTTGCAAGGCACTTGAAGGCTACTGACTCATCTAGAGCTGTGACAAATCGTTTCACAAGACCGAGTGTGACATACATTGGTGGCCCAGTGTGACATACATTGGCATACACCTGTAGCTCCCACTTGAAGTTCCTGGCCACAGGGGACTTGGCCAGCTGTCACAAGGACAAACACAGTAGGGAAACTTGGCACCACTGCCTGGGAGACCCATCTGGAATACCACCATTGTGAAGTCTCCCACCATGTCCCACCTCTCCTCATACTTCAAGCCCTGGCTGGTCCCGGTCACAGCAGCAAGTTAGGAATAATAACAATGTTCAGGAGGCCTCAGTAATTACGAGATATATCTTACTATCCCAGGAACGAATTTAGAAAATGACGACTGTTCCACAGTGGTTAATTGGTAGCAATTTGCTGCTAATCTCTAAGACAAGTGATATCAACAAGCCTCTCGTTACCATGGGGAGGAGGAGGGGGGGGGATACATTGTTCTTTGACAAGACCACACACTAGAAAGTGAAGGGACGACGCCAATGTTTCGGTCCGTCCTGGACCATTCTCAAGTCGATTCGAGAATGAATCGACTTGAGAATGGCCCAGGACGGACCGAAACGTCGTCGTCCCTTCACCTTCTAGTGTGTGGTCTGGTCAACATACTTCAGCCCCGTTATTGTGACTCATCGCCTGCATAC